TTGTGGAGCATGGAAGGAGTGGATGCATAGAGATAATAACTGATGCAAGGGTTTGTAGGGGATGTAGTGGGCTGAGAGGAGATAGGGAGGGTGAGGAGATTTCCAGAGTGAACAATGAAGGCAGGATGGGGGAGGGAGCACTAGAACTGAATGTGATTACACAATTCATTTTAAAGGTGATTTAATCAGGGGGGGAATAAAAATGTTCTGAAATTGATTGTGGTGATGATTGTTTAATTCTTGTTAACATGATTGAAGGATTGAATGGTATGATATGTGGATTATGTGCCAATAAAATGGAAAGAATGAAAGAGAGCGAGAAAGAAAGAAAGAAAAGGGAAGTGAGAATGGCTGCCCAATTCAAAGAATGCTGTCACCAGTTTGAACCTGTAGAAATTGTTAAATTGGTGTATGTTTTGTTGTGTGTGTTTCAACAACAATAAGTACATAGAGAAGCAAGAATGACCTACCGGCAAGCATGCATTCGTTTTATAGCCACAACATTTTATGTGCTTGACTTTGAAACAGTGGACTGGAGGTGGAGGTGTCCACTGCAGCTCCCACTAGGAACTTTCCAAAAGGAAGGTCCTGACACTGAAGGAAAGAACCCTTCAGCCAAGCCAACTGTCTCAGAGGTTCTGAGAGAACGGCCTAGCAATCCACACAAGCCAAAAGGAAACAGAGCTGCTGATGTTAAGATTCATCAGAACAGACGTTAAGAGGCAAAAAGGAATTCAAGGGACAAAGAGCATTCTCTTAAGAAAGGGAAGAATACTTAACAAATAGATTGCATTCATAAATCTCTAGGCTCAACATAACCCAACATCAAATCAAAGAGTAAACTCCCTTCACATAGAAAGGAAGCGATTGAAACAGTCATCATAAAACTTTATGGTTTTGTGGTGATGATTGTACGACTCTTCTTGATATGCTTGAACTAGTGAACTGTATGAGATTATGTCTCAATAAAGCTGTTTAAAAAATAAAATAAAATAAAATTTGAGTAGTTCTTACAACACGGTGAATGTCATTGATGT